CAATGAATAGAGTCTAAACTCATCCATCCGGTCTAACCACGTGGCTCATCTGAAACAAAGGAGAGGAACGCGTAATTCCAGTTCCTGCATTCCTGCACATGCTCAGTACAGTGATGACAGTATCTTAGCTACGTGTAACTAACTAACTGATACTACAAACACATGTACCTACATATGCCTTGTGGCAATCTTGGCCTGCTAAAGTTGTATTTTACTGGAATTCCATCACATTCCCCCCTTTGATGCTTCTGATTTAAAATAATTCCAGATGCATCACCAATCATAGTTTGATTACACCTCAAGTTGCCATAAACCAGACTAGACTTTGCGATCCTCTAAAGATACGAACCCCTCAACATTCCTCTTCCTGCATGTATTCTCCTTGATCTAGAGCTTCATACCTGCAAACAGCCATTACCTGTGCTGCGGCCTTTCTTTCTGCTATACTTTCTATAATGCTCTGCATAGACCTAATTACCAAAGGAATCAGACATGGCAGAAGGAGACACAACATCAAAATCAGTATGACTCCACCTACCAATGCCTTGATTCCTCCAAACTGCTCATACCAACTACCAAACCAACTACTCGGATTATACCCTTTCCATACCTGAGTAGGTACATGTGCTAGCTTAACCATATGGCTAGTAAGCTCAGCTATTGCTTGCCCTTCATCATCTATTTGAAGACAACAATTGCTTAGATTAAACTTCCCACATACACCTCCCTCTACTGCCAATAGGTAATCCAAAACTAATCTATTCTGGTAGATGGCTGTCCTCATCCTAGTGTTATGCTTCGCTAGGAGATTGAGCGCTTGTGATGTTTCATTGGTAACTATCTCAACTACTGCTTGTAATCTTATAATACGATTAAGCATATATATTGGGGTTCTGTATCCATAAGTACCATCCTCTGCCCACGTAGCTGGCCCATAATAATCTATAATACGCTGGGGAAGCCACTCATCATCTTCCCAGGTACCTATCTCTAGGGGTGCCCTTTTCTTCCTATGATTTACATCATATACTTTAACTCCCAAAGTCTCTCCTGTTTCAATTGGCAACAAGAAGAAGGATGGTTTGAGCATACCCAATACACATGCCCCTTCTCAGTCCTGTGGTAACTCCGAATATGCTTTCTTACCACAAATCCAGTACAAATTTGCTGGGGCTTTCCAACTAGATGTAGCAGATAGGTCAAACCATACATCGTTTAAATTTGTATAATTTGCAAACGGATTAGACGGTTCTGAGACATTTGAAGCTGACCACCAAATAGTATCCTTTGTATCGTCATTATAAGCTTTCTGCCCTAAACAAGTCAATTCTCCTACAGATGTATTAAACATTATTCCTTTCCTTGCTATACAAACATAACCTATAATGGAGGTCTTTAATTGCCACTCAGATTTATCTCTAACACTCACTTGATAATCAGATTGAGAAGATATTAGTTGTTCAACTGTCTCAGAACCAGAATACATTACCTCCTTTGCTTCCCAAGGCCATTGGTCTCCCATATTAGTACCTCCACACACATAGCAGTTGGTTACATTAAGACTACCAGCAATGCTATCAGCTAGGTCTATGAATAAGTTTTTTTATATTATGGGGAACCTTATCTTCCACACTCATCTCCTCATAAAAAGAATGGAAAACCTGATGAGTCTGTATCTGTCTCTATTCCTCTGTATAATATCGTCCCAGGATCCAAACCTGTTCCATATACTTGGAACCCAAATAGATTCCCAAACTTATCTATAAATAGCTCTGGGTCCTTGATAAGTATATGGACTGGGTTACACTCCATAGACTTACAATATGGCTTGGTAGGCAATCTAGTGATAATCATATCCTTATCTACTGTCTGTCCCCAGGTTGCCCATCCCACACAGGACCAATACGGACAATAATTGTAGTCTTTATTTAGGCAGTTTGGATCTATATACTTATGCTTATTACTAGGACAAATATACTTATCATTAGACCCATACGTTCTTTCCCATTTAAGACCACCACATACATTCCATGGCTTCCTACTACCTGATATCGCCTTACATGCATCAAATAGCAAAACACCTGGAGAATGTACGCTTTCTAGTACAGTCTTATTTATCAGGTTCCCCTGTGCGTTCTCATTCCGAATAGTCAACCAAATTGTACGGGGCTGATACTCAGGATTAAAACACCTAGGTTCTCCTGCTCCTATATGGCATACACTATAATCTGTACCTAGGTATCTACACTTTGATACATGTCCTGTGCACTCATATTGCGAATGCCAAATAAGGGTCTGGGAAATACGATTGCCTGTTTTCGTAGTCTTAATGCAAACCTCGCAGCCTGGTGTGTCGGTACCTCTACCTTCCTGAATAATTAAAAACACACATATATACATCATCAAACACATTACTCCTGACATCTTCTTCCTAATTCTTCGACCGTGCGACGGCACCTCAGCTTCCAGGCGTGTGAGGGCTGCAGGGAATGGAGTCCTTCTGATCCTCACTGTTCTTCACAGAGGATTCCTCTGGCTTAAACGTTGGTAGGTGGTCAGGCTTTATTGTGGTCGTCAAAACACCTACTTGTAGATCTTTGTTGATGTTCCCTTGTAACAATACTCTTCGCAAAAACCACTTTTAATCTAAATGGGTCACTCGCTTCAACCGGATCTTGCAGGGATTCTCAGGACCTTGAGTAGCTTGCCAAGAATCTGCTGCTGGTTTAACCCTGGAGTGATGAATCCACGGAGTCACCTCTGCCACCTTTATAGCGTTGGAGTAGACAAAAGAACAGCATAAGGACCCCTCCACTTTGGCCCCAACAGTACACTGTTCCACTCCTTTATCCAAACTTGGTCTCCTGGATGGTACGAATGGACAGGTGGATAAATATTTACAGGTAACCTATCTTGTACCCATTTCTGTACCTCCTCCATAGTTTTACCCAACTCTACAACCTGCCGCCGAGTAATTCCTTCTCCCAACTGACTCAAGTCCCCCCTTAAGTTACTAAGTATGGGAGGTGGACGCCCATACATAATTTCAAAGGGTGATAGACCTAACTTTCTGGTAGGTGTACTACGAATGCGCAACAGAGCTATTGGCAAAAGAACATTCCACTTGAGTTGGGTTTCTTGACACATTTTTGCCAATTGGGTCTTAATGGTTCTGTTCATCCTTTCCACTTTCCCAGAACTCTGAGGCCTATATGCTGTATGAAGTTTCCACTTAATACCACGCATATGAGTCAGTTGTTGTAGGCACTGATGGACAAAAGCTGGACCATTATCTGATCCTATAGAACACGGTAGTCCATATCGGGGTATTATTTCTCGCAACAGAAATCGCACAACTTCTCCTGCTTTCTCTGTACGAGTTGGACACGCCTCTACCCATCCTGAGTAGGTACGCACAGCTAATAGTAGGTAACGATGTCCGCCGGATTTGGGCATTACCGTGTAGTCTATTTGGAGATCAGACATAGGAAGCCCTCCCATGTACTGGACTCCCGGTGGTTTCACTGGACCTTGCCTTGCGTTGTTCTTGGCACATGACACGCATCTTCGAACAATGGCTTAAGTCAACTTGGACAATCTTGGTATGTAGAAATGCTTCCTAAGAGATTCTTCCATACTATCTCTTCCAGAATGTGTCCCATTATGATAATTCTGGACAATTTCTACAGCTAGCGATGCTGGAATAACTATTCTTCCATCTTCTAACTGATACCAATTATTCTCCAAATATTTCCCAGCTTCAGTCTTTAACCACTCTACTTCTTGAGCTGTATAAACTGGAGTCCACTGGGACAGAGGGGTCGGTATAAGAGCTGCTACACACTCCCCATACTCTTTTTGTCTGGATTCAGCGGCACGCTTAGCTGCACTATCTGCCATCCGATTTCCTTTCACCACATCACCATCACCTTTCAGATGTGCTCGACAATGTATGATACCAACTTCCTTCGTCCCCCATACAGCTTCCAATAGTTGTAATCTCTCAGCTGCGTACTTGAGTTCTTTTCCTTCTGAGGTCAGTAATCCTCTTTCTTTATACAAAGCTCCATGGGCATGAGTGGTTAAAAACGCGTACTTTGAGTCTGTGTAGATATTTACTTTCAACCCTTCAGCCAATTGCAAAGCCCGTGTAAGTGCAATTAATTCTGCCTTCTGTGCTGATGTTCCTTTTGACAATGGCCGCGCTTCTATCACCTTGTCTATAGTTGTCACTGCATATCCAGCATAGCGAATCCCTTCTTTCACGTAACTACTGCCGTCCATGTAAAACTGAACATCGGGGTTCTAGATGGGAAAATCATGAAGGTCCGGTCTACTTGGGAACACTTCATCCATTACCTCCAGGCAATCATGTCGACTCTCAGTAGGTTGCGGCAAGAGGGTAGCTGGGTTCAAGGCACTCTCGGGTTCTCGCATAACATGGCTTGATACTTAGTCATGCGGCTATTGCTAAACCAATGATTACCTTCATAGTCTAGCAACGTCTGTACTGCGTGCGGGACTCGCACATAGAGTTCCTGACCCAGAGTGAGCTTGTCAGCTTCTGCTACCAACAGGGCGGCGGCAGCTACGGCCCTTAGACAAGGAGGAAGACCACTGGCTACTGCATCCAGTTGTTTGGACATATACGCAACAGGTCGTTGCCATGATCCCAGATACTGTGTCAGTACTCCCACAGCCATCCTTCTTTGCTCGTGTACATATAAGTAGAATGGACGTGTATGATCAGGTAGACCTAATGCGGGGGCGCTCATCAATGCCTTCTTAACATCCTCAAATGCCTTCTGCTGTTCGATGGTCCACAGGAAGGAATCATGTTCCGTGCCTTTAATAGCGGCATAGAGGGGTTTCGCCAGTATCGCATAACTGGGAATCCATATCCTACAGAAGCCTGCTGCCCCTAAGAATTCTCGCACTTGTCTTCTATTCTTAGGTGTTGGTATTTGGCATACAGCCTCTTTTCTTTCAGGCCCCATTATCCTTTGACCTTCAGAGATATGGAATCCCAGATACTTGACAGTTGGCTGACACAACTGAGCTTTCTTCCTGGACACCTTGTATCCTGCCTTCCAAAGAATGTGCAGTAAATCATAAGTTGCTTGCTGGCATATCTCTTTAGTAACTGCCGCTATCAACAAATCATCCACGTATTGTAGTAGTACACATTCTCCTGGGATGGACTTGAAATCTAATAAGTCCTGACTTAATGCTGATCCAAATAGGGTAGGTGAATTTTTAAACCCTTGGGGTAATCTTGTCCAGGTCATCTGACGTTTCGAGCCCATTACAGCATCTTCCCATTGGAATGCAAAGAACACTTTATTGATACTGTCTCAGTATTTAATATTCCATCTGGCAGTCAGACAGATACAGACATATTCTGTATTCTAGTCCCTTTCTCTCTTACTTTCTCATAATATATGGGTCTGTATACATCCGGATTGGTGTTTAGGGGTTCTTGCTGCTCGATACTAGTATTGTGGTTACAGATATTTTCTTTTCAGCTCTCTTTCTAGATTTAGAGATGGAGTCCATCACTCCTTATGTATATTATTACGTTTTAGTGGTTATGGTGCATTAAGTTTAATTAGTTTGTTTCTTTTATTAGGGATCATACCTTTGAGTAGACCCTTTTCCAATAAAGCTATTTTATAGATATATTTCATATTAGCATCTATTGCAGAACTTTCCTCTAAGAGCTCCTGTTGCTATTTTTAGCCCAGGATCACTCACCTATCTACTTAACTGCCGCTATCAACAAATCATCCACGTATTGTAGTAGTACACATTCTCCTGGGATGGACTTGAAATCTAATAAGTCCTGACTTAATGCTGATCCAAATAGGGTAGGTGAATTTTTAAACCCTTGGGGTAATCTTGTCCAGGTCATCTGACGTTTCGAGCCCATTACAGCATCTTCCCATTGGAATGCAAAGATACACTGGCTTTCTGTAGCAATTCGTAGGCAAAAGAAGGCATCTTTAAGGTCCAAGACTAAAGTAAGTAGCCCCACCCGGAATCAAGGCAAGCAGGTTATAAGGATTGGGCACAACTGGATGTATACTTACTACCGCATCATTGACTGCTCTCAAATCCTGCACAGGACGATACTCATCTGACCCAGGTGTAGCAGAACGCCAATATTAAATCCACGAATTCCGCTGGTTCAGGAAGTAATCCACAGTCAAGCGTTGAAACAACAAGGCAATATCCCCAACCTCAACTGAAGTCCTTTAATTCTGCTTCACAATTTATACAAGTCCCCATGCAAGGGGTTTCCTGAGTCCCCTCCCAGGGGCATTCCTAGAGGGGACTACATGGGGAACTTACAGTACAACACATTTCTCCCATCAGGCACTGCTGCACGAGAGGGATCCTCCTCCTAGAATATGCCGTTAAGTGGATTATCCCCTCGTGCAGCAGAGCCGACAATTTATACAAAAATCCATAACTTTGTGAATATACTGTTGATTTGCACGAATGGACGTTCGGTAGATAGCTGGGGTCTGAGCGCATCATTCGTGAGATTACCGCTCAGATCCCAGCTAAAATAACCGAACGCCGCACGAAAAACACATTTATTGAAAACCATATTGAAAAGACCGATTGCCTTCCAGGGAATGAAATACCGAACGGCCTGGAACTCCCGAACGTCCTGGAGGCTCAGCGGTGTTCGTGCCGTCGAGTAGCCGTTTTTAGTACCATGCGCTCGACGACCTAGCACCGCTGAGGGAACAAAGGATCCAAGATGGTCGGTAGTTGAACGACGGCCACCCAGGAGAGCCTCTAATTACCGATTGCGTGGGCTATTAGGGGTAGTGTTTTCGGTTCACGAACGGCCCTCCAAAGTGCCGTTCGTGAAACGAAAGGAAAACCCCCATACAAATAGCTATCTGCATTCGGCGGATAGCAAATACAGGCAATTCAATACATTACAGTCAGCATACAATATACGTAGTTAAACACATATCTTCCCAGACATACAGGCAACCCTTAAAGGTACAGTCTTTGGTTATAGTCCAAGTGGCTAGGTTTGCCACAATGCTCCCCCAGAACCAAGCCGGCATACACAGTCTGATCCCAACGGATCGGCTTGGGGATGTCCGGGGGAGGGCTCACAGATCACTTCTCAAAGTCTGTTTGTCTGGATAACCCGTCGGCGTTACCGTTTTGTTTCCCGGGGCGATAATGGATGGTAAAGTCAAAAGGCTGTAGCGCCAAACTCCAGCGCAGCAGCCTGGCATTGTCTCCAGCCACACGGTTTAGCCACACCAACGGGTTGTGATCTGTGAGCAAGGAAAAGGGTTGCCCATAGAGATATGGCTGTAACTTTTTCAGGGCCCACACGACGGCCAGGCATTCTTTTTCTATGGCGGCGTAGCTCACTTCTCGGGGTAACAATTTCCGGCTCAAATATGCTACGGGATGTTCTCTGCCATCTGCTCCTACCTGGCTCAGTACTGCTCCCAATCCAAACATTGAGGCCTCTGTGTGGACAAGAAAACGTTTAGCTGGATCAGGAGCAGCCAGTACAGGGGCATTGGTCAGAGCCGTCTTCAGTTGGTTGAATGCCTGTTCACACTCTGGGGCCCAGATGACCTGCCTGGGCAGGTTCTTCTTTGTCAGGTCAGTCAGGGGTTTGGCCAGGGCACTGTAATTGGGCACAAATTTTCTATAATACCCGGCGGTACCTAAGAAGGCAAGGACTTGGGTTTTGGTCCTAGGGGTAGGCCACTGGGCTACGGCTTCAATCTTTGCGGGCTCAGGCTTCTGTTGCCCGCTACCTACCCGGTGCCCTAAGTATTGGACCTCCGCCATCCCTATGTGGCACTTGCTGGGTTTCAAGGTAAGCCCTGCCTCCCTGATCCGATCTATTACAGCCCCTATATGTCGTAGGTGATCCGACCAGGTCTGGCTGTAGATGGCAATATCATCCAGGTATGCGCACGCATAATCCTGGAACCCGTCCAGTAGCCGATCCACCATCCGCTGGAATGTCGCGGGGGCGTTCTTCATTCCGAATGGCATGACTCGAAATTGGTACAAGCCAAACGGGGTGACAAACGCCGACTTGGGGATGGCGTCCTCGGCTAGTGGAATTTGCCAGTATCCCTTACAAAGATCTATTGTCGTGAGATACCGGCCTCTGGCCATCCTATCTAGCAGTTCGTCTATCCGGGGCATTGGGTAAGCTTCCGACACGGTTTTGTCGTTCAACCTCCGGTAGTCCACACAGAACCGGGTGGTACCGTCTTTCTTGGGGACCAGGACTACCGACGATGCCCAGGGGCTATCGGAGTGTTCGATAACCCCCAACTGCAACATCTCTTCAATCTCCTTCCTCATATGTTCCCGCACGGATTCAGGAATCCGATATGGGGTTTGTCTCATGGGAAGCTGTCCCGGGGTTTCTACTCGGTGAGTGGCCAGTGGAGTGTACCCAGGTAAGTTAGAAAAGGTGGCGCCCTTTGTCGCTATCAGTTCTTGTACCTGGGTACGTTCTTGAGGACTTAGCCGCTCCCCCAGCTGAACCCCCTGGGAGGGCTCCTTCTGCTCCTCCTGCTCTAACAGATCTGGAAGAGGTAAGTTCTCCTGATCTTCTGAGGCGGGCGTGCAAATAGCTGCCACGTCCTCCGTTCGCTCGTGGTAGGGTTTGAGCATGTTCACATGGAGCATGCGTCGCTTCCCTACTCCGGAGCATGGGCCGATCACATAGGTGGTATCGCATCTCTGCTCTACCACCTGGTATGGGCCCTGCCAGACGGCCTGTAGTTTGTCTGTGCGGACAGGTTTGAGGATTAACACCTTCTGTCCCACTTGAAAACTACGGTCTCTGGCACCTCTGTCATACCAACGACGCTGTCGTTGCTGGGCGGCCTGGAGGTTGGTGCGCACTGCCTGGGTTAATTCCTCCAGGCGATCCCGGAACGCCGGCACGTATGGTACAATAGGGGTCCCATCTGCGCTACTCTCTCCCTCCCAATGCTCTCTAATGAGATCCAACGGTCCCCGGACCCTTCTCCCAAATAACAAATGGGGAGAAACCAGTAGACTCTTGGGGTACCTCTCTGTAGGCAAACAACAGATGGGGAAGGAAACGTTCCCAGTCCTTATGGGTCTCTCCGAATGTACGGAGCATCTGTTTTAGGGTACCGTTGAACCTCTCACACAATCCGTTGGATTGAGGGTGGTAGGCCGAGTTAATGATTGGCTTAATGCCACATATTTTCCATAACTGCTGAGTAACCTCGGCCGTAAATTGTGTCCCCCTATCGGAGACAATTTCCTGCAGGAACCCTACTCGGGAAAAGATTTTCATCAGGGCTTCGGCCACGGTCTCAGCGTGAATATTGGTTAAGGCAATCGCCTCGGGGTACCGGGTGGCGTAGTCCACCACGGGCAGTATATACCGCTTCCCAGAGGGGCTGGGTTTTGGTAGTGGCCCCACTATATCTACAGCCACACGGCTGAACCGTTCCTCAATTATAGGTAGGGGACACAGTTTCGCCTTGTGGCGATTCCCTCTCTTGCCTACCCGCTGACACACATCACAGGAGGTACAATAATGTCTTACATCTTTAGAAATCCCGGGCCAAAAGAAAGCGTGAGTTAAGCGATACCGGGTCCGGGTCATCCCTAAATGGCCGGACAGAGGAATGTCATGGGCTATTCTTAGTAGCTCATGTCTATACTTCTGGGGTACTACCAGCTGCTTAGTTTGGAGAGTCACAGAGTTTCCTATTTCCCTTTCAGCCACCTGGTACAATAACTTGTTTTCCCAAATGTACCGTTCCCCCTCCCGCCCCACCTGGTCCGTGTCTACTCTATCTCGGTACACCTGCAGTGTGGGGTCTGTCTGGACCTCTGCTTCAAAAGTGGTCGGGGTGTCCCAGGTCATATGCGTCAAGGGGGGGTCATGGTTTCTTACCTGAGCCTCAGAGTGTGCTGGTGGTGCCTTGGTGCGAGCCTGTTGCCGTGTAGTTACCGGGTGAGCTTCTTGCGAAGGGGCCTGTGGTAGGAAAGCTGAAGTCATCTGGCCCAAGCCATTCCCCAACACAACATCTGCCGCTAACTTCTTCATTATTGCCACTTCTACAACCCCCTCCCCAGCACCCCAGTTCAAATGCACCTTGGCAGTGGGTAGCCGGTACATGGCTCCCCCTGCTACCCTGACCGCCACTGATCCGCCAGT